CTCACAAAGCCATAGGTTTTTCCTAAAATTGTGTCCTCAATTTTGTGCTGACTTTCAGTTTAGCACATCAATTACTCTATTCTGGTATATTTTTCTCCGTGGTCTAAAACCGAAAGAGTTCACCAAGTTTGTCAGGTTCTATAAGGCTTTGGACCGTATGGAAGGGCTATTATATTATTTTATTATAGACGACTTGTGCAGGCAATTGTGCCTACATATTAGCCAAAAATTTGTTTACCGTTACAATGGGATAAAGAGAATGAAATAAAAGTTCATATACAACAGGGATAAAACGTAAAATAGTTTTCGTCAACCAACACAGGGCAGCACATTAGAGGACCGCCGTAGATTGTTATCTAAAGCGACTCCTAGGTATTTGGTGGTATGTGTTCTGGTGACGGGTGAGGAATTGATGACTGAGGGTTCCAACGGATATTCGGATGGGAAATGACTACGAACGCATAAGAGGCATTTAGAACTATTGAACCGAAGACCCGATTGGTTCAAGAATGATTGCACTTGTATTAAACTGTCGGAAAATGATTCCATGTCAAATAGTTTTGAAATGGCTTGAAATACAACCACATCATCAGCATACTTAAAGATCCTGGCTGATGGAAGTGAGATAGAGTCAACGATGAAAGTTGAAAATAAGTACGGAGAGATCACAGCACCCCGGAGAACTCCAGAATCATTCACTAACGGTTTTGAAATAGTGCCATTGGTTTTCGTTCTTTGAATCCTTTCTGTGAAATAATCTTTCAGCCACGGCACTAAGTTGGTGTAGCACCCGAATGACTGTAACTCTCGCTGAAGAAGAGATCGTGGAACGGAATCAAAAGCGGAAGAATAGCCAAGGAAAACGCAACGAATGGACTTTTGAGAATAATCTAAAGATTTGCAAATAAGGTGCATCATTGAAGAGACAGCATCCAAAGTGCATCGATTTGAGTTTAACGCAAAATGGACGGAGTCACTGCAAGTGGGTGAGAATAGCGCGTTCCACTAGTTTAAGTCCAGAGGAGGTAATGGCAATAGGACGACTGTATTTGGATAAAACGCAAGGTGAAGGTGATGTAGGAATGGGCAAAATGGTGAACGGTCTCCAGGAGTCCGGAATGAAATATGTGTAAATGGATTGGTTAATAAGGGATGGAAACATTTCTGTCATTGAGCCTAGGCCATAGTTGAGCATAAAGGAAGATAGACCATTGGGGCCAACAGCGTTCGGGATTTTTGTAGCTTTGAGAAGATGATAGATCTCTTCATGAGTGGCCAGGTCTATGATAGACAGATGATCTGTGGGGTACGGAGACAGGAGATCATTCGAAGGATAAATGAATGCAGCATCAAGGCTGTTCACGTCAATAATTTTGTTTGTACTTCGTTTCTTCTGTCCGTAAAGCAATCCGACCCCATGCCATAATCGTCTTCCGTCTTTACCTCTGAGAACTTCCTTTGCGAATGAAGCATTCAGTTTTTTTGATATCTGTCCTGATTTCTAGTTTAAGCTGTTTGACAGTGGCTGGAATGAAAAAAAACAATTTAGGCAGTTTTTTTTTAAATTATCAGCTGTTTTCAAGCAGTTCCATATCCGTGAGAGACTTTTGTTAGTCACTTATTGAATTTCATTGGATGATCACTAAATGCGCTCATCTAAGTATAATGATATACATAAACAGTACCGTTGTAGTCACTTACTTATTCAATCCTGTGACAATTTTCACTTGTCTCCTGATGAACTCTCAAGATGTAGAATAAAATTAGCTGTGGTCGCAGTAAACTGGCTAGTCTCACACACGACCTGGGCGGATGCAGAAAACACACTAACGGCTGAGATACTTTGTTGCTACGTGAATCGCGATTCTACGGAAATAGGTAATCGATGTCCCCCGTGAACGAATACACCAGACAATCCCGAGTGTAGGCGGAGTCTGCGTGCGGGCTGGAACTGCCGACAGGGTTCCCTGACAATCTGTGAGAGAGGAAACTACAAACGCTATTCAAACGGCCCAGTGAGACATGAACACGACTCACATTCAAACGGAATGGCAAGTGGTGGCAAGTGGCAGGTGGTTAAACTTACGACTAGGCCATTCGACACCAGCTAACGGACAATTTCTAAAGTGGCAGTCCAGAATGATGTGCAAAATTATGATACAGTAAAACCAGGATAGGAGCATACAGTTAAAATCATCTAAAACAGAACAGCAGTAAGAAGGTACTGAAAAAATGATCGCTCAACTTTGGTATTCTGTCATTTGGCATTAGATATCAAGCGTAGTACTGTCACTGAATATTGCCATTTATGCTTAGACTACTTAAATATTTACAATAGTCAATTTGCAAACACATTCAAATTCATTTCCGTAGAATTTACACTATACAGACAGCAGATATTCTTCCGCACTAAACTGTCACTTTGTTGGTCGCATATCCATCGATCCACTGCCCTCACGGTCGTCAGTTTCTGGGCTTTCTCCTTTTCGGATGCATGAAGAGGATCCGAGGGTTGACCGCAATTACAGCGTGAAGTGAAATCTGGGGGTAACGTGTTGGATGAGATGTTTTGGGGTTCAACTCTAGGATGGGTCAGTTGATATGCATGTCTGGGCAAATCTAATTGGAGGAACACTCAGCTCCGATATTTGCTGAATTCATCGTTGACTGTATGAATTGTGTGTATGCGCATCATGAGGGATTATAAAAGATGGTTCGACGCAGTCAACAACAGAAAAATAAGTTTCATGTTTCTAACACTACCATTAGCAATAATCAATGATATTTGTTTGCCGACGTCTAAATACAAATACCCTTTCAGTATTACTCGTTATAGAAATCAGATGCATGTATTGGGTAAAAAGCGGCTGTCAAGCTTAACGATTGTGAAGTTAATTACTTAGGTGATAGTTAAAAAGATACCACAAAATTCCTAAACCAAATATAGAAATCATGAGGATTTCACTCTAACAAAATTTACCAAATTTTCCTGTGATTTCAGATTCAAAAATGCATGTGAAAGAAGCGTTTGTGAACGAGGGGACAGGAATGCAACTGTCATTCATTCAGATGGATCAATGCATTGAACCGTACTATCTGATTGAATATCACTCTCGCGGTCAAATTGTTCTGCGACAAAATGTGACTGATCCGGTTGTGACCATCACGAATCGGATACTGTGTTGTCCGTGCACTTTGGTCATTTGGGTTCCTGAAAACAGCAACGGTATCCCTGTAACACAACCGATTTGGTTTGGGCAAAGTACGCTGGTTGGGTTGGTTGGATAATGTGATCTTTTCATCCACCTGATATAACCCAATTTTGTATTTGTGTTTCTATAACTTTTGCAAGCTGAGCTATGCTTACATCTCAGTTAAAATTTGTGCACTGGTCGTCACACCGGAGAAAATCTGGAAGTAAAGACAGATCCAATAGAGTGCTGGATTAATATCTCTCAGAAGTTTGATTCATTCAATTAAAGATTGACGTAATTCATCTGTAACTCGTTCCTTGTTGATCAAGATTCGAACCAGATACGGTACAATGGAGTTTTTATAAATGTTTATTCGAGAGGGTAGGTACCAATAAGAGAAACAAGTGATCGAGTGGAAGCGTCAAGAAGATAGATCAAGATTCAATGGATGCGAGGAGTCGTTTAGAAGCTTATTGGCAAAGGTCACACAAGACTTCATTTGATCATTTGATTTTGTGATTAATGACTCGACAGAAATCAAAGGTGCACTGCTTATTATCAACAATCCATGACTGATGTTTTTAAAGTCTTGTTTCAATAGACCGGAAAAATAATCAGGGGAGCAATAAAGTAAAATAGGGAGAACGCATTGTTTAACAAAGGGGAACAAAACTTGTTGGGGAGTGCGAAATTGTCTGAGCTTTCGGAGCTGAAAGGAGAAGCGCCAAAGTTTTCCCATACGGTTCGGAATATGTGTAGACCACCGAAGATTATTATCGATAGTAACACCCAGATATTTGGCTGAGGTTACTCTAGACAAAAGATTACTTTAAACGAATAAATATAAATCATATATATAAATCATATACGCGGACGGAAAGTGAGATGAATCTAGTCATGTGGCAACGTGGGATCTGCCAAAACGACTTCAACTTTAGATTTCAAACTAAAAACACACGTGTTTGTTTTTGTGCACCCCAGTCAAATTTTGTCGTTCTCCATAATGGTCAATAAAAATGATAGTCGTTGATTTACTGAATGAAGAAACTAAACTGCACTAGGCAAATTGAAATAAATGTTCAGACACAAGATAAATAAAATAGGATGTTGAGATCGCAATAGTGGTAAATGCTGCATGGTTAATTATCACTGATTTCAAATTTTTCCGTGCCTTTGACTAATGCATGAATTGGTTTCGATTGAAGGGTGAATGAGGAAATAGCGAAACCCTCGGAGCCAGCCCAATTTGGTGTGTGACGTTTCATATCGACCTGTTTGCTCTGCACATATTTCACTATTCCGAAAGAGGCCACTCAATGTAGAAACTGGGCTATTAAGGGAGAATATCATTTATAGCGCTGTTGAGACACTGTATTTCGATATGAAATCGGTTAAAAAAACTCTGAGCAATAGGGTTGTACGTGGTAAACTGTTAAGCTTCAGAGTGTACTTACAAACCACTTTTAGGTAATCTTATTTCTGTTAGTGGTAGATAAACTTATAATTTCGGGCCCATAGTGACTGAACCTGAAGTGTTTTAAATGAATCCGTGAACTGAATTTTATAGTAATTTTTGTCTTTTTTTTGTGATTTCATAAAAATTAAAATGAAATTAAATCGAGTTTTTTTCCGGTTTTCCTTGTTACTACTACTACCACCACCACCACCACCACCACTACCACCACCACCACCACCACCACTCAACCACCCACCCAATCACCCTCTTCTTAAACGTTTGTTTGATAATCAAGCAACATTTGGAGTCGTTTCCGAGGGAAAAACAATTCGGATCAACTGGGAAATACCAGATGAGAAATATTATGAGTATGATGTTTTGGTGATCCCGTCCATCTCTAACTCACTGATTGAAGAACCGAATCACGGATTCCTGATACCAGCACCAATTGGACAGAAAATTATTACAACCACTACATGCGGTTGGTTTGAAACTGAATTGGTGTATCAGACATATTCGCTGTTCCGACATGCCGTACATGTGTTACCACAAGGTCAGTTTCAAACAAAGAATAACAATCAATTTTCCGTGATACACAACAGATATCTGTGGAACAATACTTAATAACCAAAGCGTGTAATGTTTGGTCAATCTGGTTTTATCCGTGCAAAGTCATCAAACGCTATGACTCATCTATTCCTGGTCCTATCCATTCTTAGACCGCACTTTCTGCAAACTGGTATGGATAAGCAGTACCTATGAATTCATATGCTCAACCGTGTAGTGATTGGTATAAGATCACCCATTCAGGAGGCTGGAGCGTACTACTGCATACAAAGCCATGGCTTAATATTCCTTGTCGAGCGCTACTCACACGATTCACTTTAAACAGGAGTACCCGAATAATTCTCAAGTAGATACCGATTGAAAAAGGGATATCTCTCACACTATTCGAGTCAGTTTTCAGCTTCCAGTTCATCCGAGCGTAACATTTCAGAAGGGAGCTCAGTAATTAACATATGATAACAGAATTAGCTCAAAGAGCTTCACGATTTTAATGCTTACACTTAAAAATTTATTTGATCGAAATAATTCTGGAAAATCTAGCACTCTTATTTTAACGGTTTTCTTATGGAAGCCTACGGTAGATTGTTTTGTGAAATGAGTGTATACAAAAATGTGCACACCTCATGATTCGAAGTTATGTCAATTTACATGGAGGCAGTCTTGAACAACATTATTCAAATTGTTGTTTGGCAGATTTGAAGGTTGTATGTCAGTTGTGAAAATGTATCAGCCTCGGTGGGATTGGAAACCATGCCTCGTAGTTCACCTGGCATAGCGTGCGCTGCACAAACGCTTAGGTGGCGTCCATGCGTGTGTTTCAACAAAATAAAAATTTCGGTCCTTCTCATTTAGGTATGTAGAAAGAATTGACAGTTTCCTATATTCATTTGTCATTTCTGCGCTCGTTATCATGCACCGTTTTGAGCTCGGTATAACACGTATCAAGTCGGGTGTTTACACGTGCAACTATACCTATATAAAG